AGGTCACAGTGAGATTCCCGGTCGGGGCACATGCCTGCGTTTCGAGCTCGATCCCCAATGTGGGGCGTGCAGGAGGCAGCCCATCATCCATGATTCTCTCTCATCATGGATATTTCTCTCTCCCTCCCTCTCTCTCCTTCTCTGAAATCAATAAAAAATATTGTTTAAAAAACCCGACTCCTGCTGTGGGGGAGGCCTGTCCCCTCATGGGCATCTGGATGTTAGCTGATGGTGATGATATAGTAATTACTAAATAAAAGTACGAGATGAGATCTACAGATTACATAACACGGCTCATTTCCCCCCCAAATAGAAACTATATTTAGAGATATTCAAATGTGACACTGTTACTCTCTGCAGGATGTCTTATCTCAGCATCAAGGGCTTCTGCGGAGTGGCTGGGAGATTATGCAATCGAACTTGTAACGCACATTCAGAGGGTGAGCTCAGCCAGAGCGCGGGTGCCCGCGAAGTAAACAGGAATGCTGTCCGTCTTGCCTCCAGACCTCGTCTGCCCCCCGGGACAAAGTCACCTCCGGGAAGAGTCTCAGGGCTGATTCTGTGATGAATTTTACCTGCCTGGACAAGACTGGATGCACGAGGGATCTGAGTTTTAAAGGGCTAGTCCACCTTTTTAAAAATCGATTTTTTTCAAGATTGTATTATGCTGGCCAGCGTGGCTCGGTGTGACTGGCCTGGCTGATAGGTTGAGCCTATAAACCAGGAGGTCGGGGTTCGATTCCCAGTCAGGGCACATGCCCGGGTTGCGGGCTCCATCCCGTGTGGGGTGTGCAGGAGGCAGCCGATCAGTGACTCTCTCATCATTGATATTTCTCTCTCTCCTTTCCTCTCCGAAATTAATAATATATATGTATACATATACATATATATGTATGTATATATATGTATGTACAACATAAATATATATATTTATGTACATATATAAGTGCATTTTGAATTTATCTATAAATGGTTAACCCCCTAGCCTACTTCAAGTTGTCTTCATTTGGGACCTTTAACAGTCACCTAACAAGTTATTGCACTGTTTTCCTTGCCTCACTGCAATACATTCTCCATCACAGAGCCTGTACTATTGTTTTATGATATAAATTATAGCATATAATCAT